AGCCAGGAGAACAGAGCTGCATCTTGTTTTGTTCACCGATGTATAATGTGTGCCTAGAACAGTGCCTAAAGAGCCCTGGTGGCACAACAGTTAAGCACTGGACTGCTAACTGGAAGGTTGGCAGTTCAAACCCCCCCAGGGGCTCTGGCGATCTGCTCCTGTAAAGATTATAGCTTGGAAGAACCCATGGAACAGTTCTCTGTCACATGGGTCTCTATGAGTTGGAATTGACTCCATGGCACCTAACAACAAGAAGAACAGTGCCTAGCACATAGCAGACACATAATAAATATTTGCTTAATAAATAAATGATGAAAACGGGATTTGTGTAGTAGTATGTATATTATTTTTATGTTTTCAAAAATATGTTTTAGAAATTCTCAACAAGTGAAAGAGAAGAATAGTTTTCTTGAGAGAAGTGTAAGGATAACAATGGTGCTCCTTACTCTTCATCACTGCCTTTTCATATCTAAACCCCCTCGCGTCATTATGCCCGTGCAAAGAAACACGTTTTGTTTCATATCTAGATCCTGCAGCTTTTACCCCTTCAGCCTTAGTTATGGTGATTTTTTTTTCTCCCGAGAAGTCTCTAAAAAGGCATTAATGTTTATACAAACAAGAAAACAATAGGAGAAAATAGTACTAGGAAAAATATATAAACATTAGAGGAAAATATTTTACCTTCGAAATATACTTTTAATTATCTTCATTTCTCATGCTATGATTAAAAATATCTCTGCTTGGATCGAACCTTTTTGTTTCCACGCTGACTTCTTTGCTTCTCCTGTGAACTTTTTAAATTCTGTGTTTGGCAGCAGTTTTGTTTTTGTTGGAACCAAGTACTGTGTAGCATACTGTTAGCTGAAGGCTGTGATGTAGAAATTTATTATTAAAAATAAAAGAGAGAGTGAGGGAAGAATTTATTCCATAAGGGTGAAAATGGCTTAGACAGTGTCAAGAAGTTAAGATTTACAAAATACTTCTTGCAACAGATTGGGTTTCTTTTCCAGGAAGCATACTTGGTTTCCAAGGAATGATTTCAAGGGTCTTCATTTTGCCTATCCAGTTATCTCGAGCTGATAAGGGAGGATGGGTATTCTTTTCTGAGGGCTACTTCATGCAGATAGAAGCATTTTGTTTGCTATGTGTAGATGTGACCTTGGTGATCTATATAACCCCAGACCTTCTGTTAAGATGCTTATAAAAAATGTCATTACCCGGAGGAGTAATCATGATCAAGTGGCCGAGAGAGTGTTTATAATAGCTGGTGAGAGACAAACTTTTTTTTGTCTTGAATTAAGTAGCCTCGCACTTTTTGTCAACAAGAATATTTGAATTTCTTATTTTTAATTCACATATTTAATCTGTGTGTGTGTATGTACATCTCTTTCTCTCAATATCACAGACATTCCTCCTCCAAAGAAGGTATTGTATCATGTTAATAAATTTTCTGAGTCTTTTCTCAGAATTCCTTAGGTATCATGCTGCTATTCACTTCTCTTGAAAGTTTAGGCCAGATGAATTAAATTGCAAAAAGAAAAAATAATTCCATCCTAGATCTGTCTCTACTTCTACTCCTTATTGCCTATGACCCATTTATGTAATTTATCTAATTCCATGATAATATCAAAGGACTTGCTTTGGTCATCTGGAATTTAACACTTTTCTTACCTGTTGGAGTCAAAGGATGTTTTGACTTTCTCATTGGTAGAACGTCAACATCGGTTTTTACCTAATATGGAAATTCATTGACTTCATTGTGAAAATTCTCTTCAGGGTTAAACTGATTGATATTTTTTATTTGTCCTGATATAATCATTGGTCAAGGAAGTGGGAATAGGGAGGTGTCTCTGAACTTCCTAAAAAGTTTAGCCTATGTTTCCGCTTTAAAACAAATGCATACCAGTACTCTAATCCTTTCATTTAAATAGTCTGTAATATTAAATGAATATATTCAGTCAGTCTATCACACTATAGATGTTTTTTTAAAAGCATGCTGAAACCATTTGGCTTATGGTCTATGATCTGTGGTCAGTGCTCCTAAAACAGTAAAATAAATTTTATGTGCAAATATGATGAAAAGTCATGTGCTCTCAGGCCCCTCACTTCCTCACCCTCTACTTCACCTCTCATCTAGTGCCAGGTGTGCTCTCATCATGGAGAAGTGTATAGGTAGTTCCCAACTTAGGACATACTCGAGCTACAGGGAACCACATGTACATCTTATCATTAGTAATATGTACTACATACAATGTTGCAGCACGTAATTTGCTGATGTTATCATCTCAGATGTTCACTCACAGATGCTCGGTGTTATGATTTATAAAGATACTGATAAAAAAGGCAGTAATAATGAAAACTAAAATAATAAAATAAAATAAAGTACTCAACTTAAATCAGAACTGACTTACAACGGAGTCATCGGAACAGAACCCTCCTGTAAGTCAGGGACTACCTATCTATGGTAAAACCCTTATAAGATTTCTTCAAGTCGATAGAGGGGAAAAAATCCTATTGATTTCTTTTGACTCTGTTCTTATTAAATAGAGAACATTCTTGTATCTCTTTTGTCATATGCAGAGTTTATTTCTTTTTAGATTATATTTCATATAGCATGCAGATTTCTGTAACTTTTTATTACTTTGAAAAAAGTAGTAATAAGGTACATTAAAAACTATTAATACATGTTCATTCAACTCATGCTCTTAAAATAGCTGCCCATTTAGTCTCGTGTATCTACTTAAACTAAGAAGCACACTGTTCACAAGTATCATTTTATGTCCCATAGTCCAATCTAATCTTTGTCTGAAGAGTTGGCTTCGGGAATGGTTTTAGTTCTGTGTTAACAGAGGGTCCGGGGGCCATGTCTTCTGGAGTTCCTCCAGTCTTAGTCAGACCATTAAGTCTGTTTTTTTTTTTTTTACTAGAATTTGAATTCTGCACCCTACTTTTCTCCTGCTCCGTCAGGGACTCTCTGTTGTGTTCCCTGTCAGGGCGGTCATTGGTGGTAGCCAGGCATCATTTAGTTCTTCAGGTCTCAGGCTGATGGAATCTCTGGTTTATGTGGCTAATATTGTCCTTGTGTCTTTGGTATTCTTCATTCTCCTTTGCTCCAGGTGGGTTGGGACGAATTGATGCATCTTAGATGGCTGCTCGCTAGCTTTTAAGATTCCAGATGCCACTTACCAAGGTGTTGAACTGCCCACCTTTTTTGTTAGCAGCCGAGCTCTTAACCACTACACCACCAGGGCCCCTTCATTTTCAGGGAAGTTAAAATTTTTTCCCCATATATCTATGGACTATCGTTATTTCTTCTGTAAACTATTTATATCCTTTCCTGTCTTTTCCCCAACTTCCTACTAGGATTGTGGATTACTTTATTTTTTTGTAATTTGTGATTATTTTTAGTGTACTGAGGATATTATTTATCCTTTTTCTGCACAGGGGGTGGGAGGATAGGTAGGGGAGGGTGGTTGCTAGTGAATCAGAATTGGCTAGAAGACGACTAATAACAACCATTGGCTGCAGATATTTTACCAATGTGACGTTTGCACAGATATTCTAAGTTTTTATGTAACCAGATCAATTGATCTTCCCTTCTGTGATATTTTTCTTTTAAGTTGGAAAATCCCAAGATAGGTTCAATATTTACTTTGATTTTATTTCATTTTATACTTATGCTTTCATTTTTTAAAAATTTAAGTCTCTCAAATATATCTAAAATTTGTATTAGTGTATGTTATAATGTTCAGATCTATTTTTTCCCAGAATAAATTTCTTATTTTCCTTTGTTGACTAACTCATCAAATATCCCTTGATGTTTGATATTTTATTTTCCATATTTTGTTCCTACATGTATTTGAGTTTTGTTTCCCAAAATTGTCTACTACATCTCATTAATTTATATTTTGATTCTTAATCCATTATCACATAATTAGGATTAGAAAAGTTTTTTTTTTTTTTTAATAACGCTTAGAGTATTTTACATTAGCTTTTGATAACAATTGAGTTAAATCTGTAAGATATTTTAAGTAAAATCTAACCCTTAAAGGTTTTATAGAATTCAGTCTTCATAGCCAGAAGCATTATATGTCCGTCAGTAAAATTATATCATACTCTGTATATGTTTGTCACACATTTCTTGATTATGCTATTCAAATGTATATCATCTTTTTTTTTGTTTTATTGTGAACTTCAAAAAAAAAAATTATCTACTAAGGAGTCATTGCTGTTATGTAGAAAAGCTTATAATTTGTATAAACCTGTTGGGTAGCCCACCATCTTGGTGTGCTAGTTTAGTAATTGGAATTAGTTCTTCAATTGGTATTCATGAGTAGTGAGTTGCTAGATAGATGAATGGAGTCTCGTTCCTCTCATATGATATGTTGTATGTCCTCAAAATCCTTCTGGTTAAATGTACTTTTTCAATAAATAAATATTAGACTTCATAAGCAGTCTCTGTTTTATGCAGATCTGCATTTTGTGACTTTAAGGACATATTTCATATTAAATAATTTCACTCCTTAGAATGCTCATATTTTTGTGCTATTATCTGTACAGAGCTTAAAAATACTAAGATATTTTGGCCTTCTGGTTATTGTCATGACAGTAGATTAAGCTGTACTAGCAGATGACTTCAGCATATTTTCCTAATAAACTAGAGGCTTAATGATATGCAAATAAAGCTTTACACAGCTTAGCATCTGTGTAGGATGTTCCTGACAAAGAACAGCAAAACGGTACCTTATCAAATGCCTTTTGATGCACAGTAGCATTAAAGCACTCTCAAAATAACTAGAGGTTGAAATGTTAGCTGTCAAACCCATAGTTTATTACTTCAGGTAAGTAGTTTACTCATAATGGTTATTCAAGGCCTTACTATTAAAATATAGATTTCAAAGGCCTATTTATTCTTTAAAAGAAAGAGAAAAAAAAAAAAACATTTGCCATGTAAAATAAGTATCACTAAATTTCCTGTAATTATTATATTATCTTTACAGCTCATGGGGCATTCGGAATGGGACCATAAGCGAGGGCCAAGAGGATCCCAGGTACGTTTCTTTTCCTTTTCTTTGATTCATTTTGTTTCTTAACGTTTTGAATGAGCCGTGAGTTTTCTAAAACTCAAGAAATAATAAGAAGTAGAGAGAAGAACAGACAAAATAATCATGCCATTTGTTTTTATTTAGGTTAGCTGTAATTAGAGTCTAGATTTCAAACCCCAAAGGCAGATGCCGGC